TGCAGCTAAATGTGACAGCCAAGGACTTTTGTATATATGTATATATTTATATTTATTTACGTAATATGACTCTGTGAGTGAAATCTAATTGCTTGAATAAAAATTACATGGGCGAAACAATGCAAATAAAGAGCAGAAGAAGAAGAAGAACAGCAACTAAATGACTGTCAGTGGCAGATGCGGGCGCAATGATAGAATTAAAATTGGACTGCAAGAGTTGTAATTATGCTCAAATAAAAACAAAAAAGAAAACAAAAAAAAACGGCACAAGGGTATGCGCCCGCTGCGAGCCAGAGCGAGAGGGAGAGAGAGGCAAGTTTTGCTTATCTTAATGAAATAAAATAAATGCAGCGAGCAGAGCAGCTCAAGCAGGGGGAAGAAGAAGAAGAAGAAGGAAGAGAGAGGAGAGCAACAGCGTTGCCAGCTCAGCTCTTTGCTAGCTAAATTTGACAATCAGCCGAAATAAGTTGCAATTTCAAGCTGTTTTAGCTATTTTCTGGCAGCCCAATGACAAGTAATCGCAGGCTGAGCAAGCTAATTCCGCTATTTTTAGCTATTTTAAACATTAGTTACAGCTAAGGCAGTTGGCAGCACTAAGCAAGAGACGAGAGGGAGGTGGAGTAGGAACAGCAGCAGCAGGCAGCGGGCTGTGGTCGAAGAAGTGGGAGAAGTGAGAGAAGGGGGAGAAGGGGGAGTGGGGGGCAGCAGCAGCAGGTCGCCGGCTTCAGCCACAAGGACAAAAGCCACGTTGACATTATGGCTGTGTTTATGGCATTGTTTGTGGGCTTTGCCCCAGACTGTGCGCCACTCTACAGAGAGAGAGAGAGAGAGGGAGAGACGGAGAGAGATTGAGTGAGTGTGTGTGTGTGTGTGCATGCTGTTGATATTATATTACATTTTATAAATTACATTTTGTGCGCAGGCTAATGCACAACATAAAAAGCGAAACGTTGATTTTTGCCTTCACTTGCATGCAGCACATTTTTATACTCTGTAGGGTATGTAAAATGGGTATATTGATCTATATAAGACTTATGTACAGGCAGGTTAGTTAAAGGTGTATAGTATATAGGGAACGTCTTGCACATTTCTTCAAGTCACAGTTTGAGCATCTCTTACAGTTTTAGAGCGACCAAGCAGTCGCTTCTCCAACTGTTGAGCAGCTGCTGTTTAGTAGAGTATTGCGCAGTCGGTGACAGGAGATTTGTATTATTTGTAGCTGCTGCTGCTGTACATTAGCAGGTCGCCTGCAGTGAGTCCTTCGTCCTTCGCTCGAGTTTGACTTCAATTGCGCCACGGAAATGCATTAAGAAATTCAACTTTAGCCCACGCAGCTGCAGTGCACCAATCAGACCAACCCCTCCCCCCTCCCCCTGCCCCTGCCCCTATCCATCGCCGAGAATGCTTTTAATAGGCACTTGCATAATACACCCCCCTCCCCCCTCACGTTCCCGCCCTTCTAACTGGACAATGGCTTGGGGTGCAATTTCTATGGGCGTGAGCTAATGCGATGTCTAGCCAATATTTCGATTCCATATGCCATATTATTAGAATAGAGCAATAAACATATTAGAAAAGCGACTATTCGCTTAGTCTAAGCCAGGCTCATGTACAGTGAACACACTCTAGAGCGAACCCCTTTTCAGTTGCTTTATACAAAAAAGATGTTCGCTTAGAAGATATATATTAAAAAATTACAATTAAGAAAAGAAGCGAAAAAATACCAATAATTAATTATGCTTGTTATTTACACTTATTTTTCAGATTTTCGCATTAAATATATATATAGTTTATATAGAAAAAAAAACAACAAACTTTTCAATTTTGGTTCCGAAAAAATCTCGAATGTGTTCCAGATTTCTTGCGTCTACCATCAGAAAAGTTTGTTTGTGCGTTCTAGGGATAGTTCTTATACAAATTAAAGTTGTTTAAGAAATAGAGTCCCATAGAACGGAACGTTACATATGTAAGTGGAGTTTTTACTGTATGTTTAAATATATTCAAAAAAAAGTTGAAAAGTTCGGCTTCTACATTCTATAAATATTTCCTGTAATAAAGTCCAGTAGAAAGTTGCTTATAGACAGTTTTTACTGTATGTTCACATATATTGAATAAAATCAGAATAGAACGTTCCTTAAATGCAATTTTTACTGTAAGCTAGCATATGTTCCATAACATCTCGAATTTTTTCCATTTAAATTTTATCTTGAAGATATATATACATACAAAAGAAAAAAGTACGAGAGAACGTTCCACAATTGGGGTGTTCACTGTATGTTTGCATATATTTCATAAAATCTCGAATACTTTCTATAAACCTTGTTCCCATGCTAGAAAAGATTGTGATATTTTTTTGTAGAAATATAAATTGTAGAAAATAAAAATACAGTCCCAGAGAACGTTCCACAATCGTGGTGTTCACTGTATGTTTGCATATGTTTCATAAAATCTCGAATAGTTTCTAGAAATCTTGTGCTTCCGCTGGAAAAGTTTGTTTGCGCCTTCAAAGGATATTTTTTTGTAGAAACAAAAATTGTACAAAATAAAAATACAGTCCAATAGAACGTTCCACAATTGGGGTGTTCACTGTATGTTTACATATCTGCCAAAAAATCTCAAATTGTTTTCAGAACTTTTTGCATCTTCCGTTAGATAAGTTTCTGTAACATTTTTAGCCCAAATATAAATTGTACAAAATAAAAAAATACAGTCCCAGAGAACGTTCCACAATTGGGGTGTTCACTGTATGTTTACATGTGTATTTTATAAATCAATGCATAAAAAAAAAAAAGGAAACCAATTCAAATAACAGGCTAATGATATGAGAGCATTAATGCACCCAAAATGAACCCCCCTCCCCCCTCTCCCCCTCCCTAAGAGCAGACAACATTTATATGAATTTGTTGTATCAATTTGTTGTGTGTGTGTGTTTTTTTTTATGACAAATAATCCGCTTTCACAGCAATTGATGTCAGGTATTGAATCGACGCAAAATGAAAGTTAATACCCAACAACGGGACAATTGATTGAGGCACCTGATAAGCCAGCCGCGATAGGGCCAACTCCTTTATATATATATATATATTCCCTCTCTCTCTCTCTTTTTCGTGATTAAACATTTCATTTGATGTGGCTGTCGATAAGGCTAATGATCAGATATCATATTATGATTGTATTACACATATTTGGCTTTAATAATACGAGTGGAGAGTTTTTTCTTATCTGTTTCGATTTTGTATTAAATTAGTGTCATAAAAAAATGTGGCAGCAACTGTTGCAATTCCCACGGGTTTGGGCTCTTATCGCACCGGATTATTTACAATGCGGCATTAACAATTTATTAAACAATTTTATGGTGTTATCGTTGCGGCTCGCTGCATTACGCATACGCCGCGTCAGCCACGCCCCTCATTTCGCACACATTTCGCCTCATTTCACAACACATTTCGCACACTTGTTATGTAATTTCCGTTATGCATTTCCGCCCACACCACACTGCCACACCCCCTTTGGAAAAACCTGCGCGTAATTTGATTTATCAGCTGCAGTTTGGCAACATGCGCGACACTTCATTTCCGAATGACATTGAGTTGAGCTCATCAATTGGCCACTCTTTTGGGTCATTCCCAGTTTCGATATCAACTGCAAAACACAAAACTTTTAACTGAGCGTAAATTTATGTTTGAACTTTCAATTGTCAACTGCATTTGTTAGATTTATCTGTAGTTGAGCTCATCAACTGGCCACTCTTTTGGGTCATTCCCAGTTTCGATATCAACTGCAAAACACAAAACTTTTAACTGAGCGTAAATTTTCGCTTAAACTTTCAATTGTAAGCTGCATTTGTTAGATTTATCTGTAGAATAAGTTGTATTCATATTTTTTCATAGAAGTTGTTCCAGTAAAATGACAAATAAAACGAATTCGAAAGAAAACGGGAATGCGTTAAGCCTTTAAATGTATTTAGTTGCATAATTTTAGGCGCACTTTAGATATTTATTTCACAGCCTACTTTTGAGCAACTCATGAACCTTCTGTTTTGTATCAAAAGAAATAACAGAAGTAAGAACTGAGTAGCTTCGGGTTAGGCTAATGCCAGAAGAATCTTATCTAATTCCCTATTAGAAGAAACTTTTTGGTATTTAAGACTTTGAAAAACCGCCTCAAGAATTGGAAATTGATGGGAGACAGAATCAAGCAGACTCTCTTCTGGGTTGACTTACCAGTTAAACTGTTCTGTCTCTTCCCTGTCTCTGTCTCTTCTCTGTCTCTTCTCTTCTTTTTCTCTTCTCTGACTCTTCTCTGTCTCTTCTGTGACTCTTCTCTGTCTCTTCTATGACTATTCTCTTTTCTTCTCTAGCTTCTCTCTGTCCCTGCTCTCTGTGATAATTAAAGCAAGACTTTTGTTCTATATAACAAGCATTATAGAGTATTCTGCTCGTAGTCTTCTGTTCCGGAAACTATCTTCGCGATCTCCAGTTAAAACACCTGAAGGATGTTCTGTTTAAAGAACAATCTACAAAAGAATCAGCATTGATTTTAACAACTAGAATAATATTAATAAAAATAATAGAAATATAATAATAATTAAAAAAAAATAGACTTCCTTAAGAGTTGAATCGTGTTCAGCTCACAAATCACATCTCACAACGTTTTCTCTCCAATTCCGATTCCGCGATTTCCATTCTCAGAATGAGCTGCAATTGTTGCGCAATTTATTGTAGCCTACTTATTGGCGCTGGGCGCAATTTGTTATCCTCGCCTCGCCTCGCCTCGCATTGTTCCGCATTGGAGCCTGGCTGCGAAATTGGCTTCAATTATGCGCAGCATTATGAAATTATGAAAGTAAGTAGCTGCCTTTGCTTCAGCTTCAGCTTCAGCTGTGGCAGCTGCTTTCGCTTTGGCCAAATGTAATTGCCGCAATTTGTTGCATTCGCAGTTGCAGTCGCTAATAACGTTTATTAAAACCACACATAAACACCCCCGCCCCCGCCCCCGCCCCCGCCCCAGCTCGCTTGAGGGCCATTAACAATAAGCCAGGCATGGCTGAATGTTGCATGCAGCAGAATGTGGCATGCGGCATGTTGCATATGTGTTACGTTGGCAAATTATGCAAATCCTTGTGAAGCACATTAATGACAATTAATCGCTGCAAATTAAAATGATGACAATGCGCCAGATATGCCACAAAGATTTATGCCACTCCCCCTCCTCCCCCCTCCCCCCCTTTCATGCACAATTAAATGGTAATTTATGAGCTAAGCCATCTCAGCCGGATAGTTGATAAAGTGTTCGCCATTCAGGCGTCCCAAGTCGCGCTCCTCCTGCGCCTGGCGCCGCTCCTCGTGCCGCCCGTCCAGACCCACGCCAATGCTCTCTATAAATTTCGCAGAGCGATATCCATTTTTCTAGAAAAAACAACATTTTAGATACTCTACATAAGAGCTTTAACGACTGAGTCAAGCGACTCGCACCTCGTAGTATATGGAACGCGCCTTTTTGCCCGCCTCCGGATCGAAATTCCAATCGGTGCGGACGTGTGTTACGGGTTCTCCGGCGACATTGTTCTGCAGCGTCTCGCTGATGAGACGCAGAATAAATCCATCAGCCATCAGCAGGGTGCACTGCAAAAGAAAGAGTATCAGTACAAAGAGTATAAAGTGGAAGAGTATGCTCTTTCTAATCTTACAGCAACCATAGCTCAGTCGAAACTGAAATGGATTGATGGATTTGAGCTTTAAATTAGATAACACTAGTTTAGGTTGTAATGCATATCATATCCCCAGAATGTGGGGTGCTATCAAGAAAGTGAACGATTCTGGTTCTACAATAACTTAGCGGGAGTCTACATACCAAATTTGATGTCTCTAGCTTCTATATTCCTCGAGCTATGCTTAAAAAACAGCATTACGAAATTCATATAAAACTGAAGGTATTAAAAAAGTAGAAGATTCTAGGTCTGTGTATACTTAACAAGAGTCCACATACCAAATTTTGATGTCTCTAGCTCCTATAATCCTCGAGTTATGCTTCGAAATTCATATAAAAATTAAGTTATCCAAAAAGTGTAATATTGTGGGCCTGTGTGTACTTAACGAGAGTCTACATACCAAATTTTGTGTCTCTAGCTCTTATATTCCTCGAGTTATTCTCAAAAAACAGTATATCGATAACAATTCTTATCGATATTATTGGAACGATGCAAGTTATCGATAACTTAAAACAAACCTGATCTGCGCAAACAATATGAAAAGCTCTCATAGTTTTTGAGACCTTAAAAAACCGTTTTTTCCATATGCTTTGTGTTGGGGTATAATATAACAATGTCTTCTTCTGCCTCTGGCAATGCACTTGAAAAGATTAATCGAGGTATGACTGTTTTTATGAATTGTTCAGTCAGGTAAACACTACTCAAGGCCCTTGTCGTATTGTCGTCTTTTGAATATTGCGCCACATTATTGATCAAAGTCTAGCGTTAACTTTCGTTTTCAAGGGATTTGAGTCACGGTTTGAATATTTTGCAGCTGCGACTTGTCTTACACCTTAATTTCGGCTCTCTCTCTCTCTCACTTACCGCAAACAAAAACAAAAATCTCAATTGCAACATTTTCTGTGGCTTTTGAGTTTTATTTGGTTTATTTTTTTGATTACTTGAAGCGCGGCCCGTGCGAGTCACTGGACCATTGATCACTAAAACCGAAACCGAAACCGAAACCGAGACTAAAAGCTCAGAAATCGCGCGCAGTTGCATAAAACGCAGCCAAGCGCCAACGCAAATATCGCACGAATAGCAAAGAAATAAATAAGAAATATCGAAAAAGATACGAACAGAAATACTCGTACATCTTGTTTGGCAAACAAAACAAACGCCCAGAAGTTGCAGAGCTGTGCGAATAACAGACGGACAGTGCTGACAGCTTAGCTACTTTCCAGCTAAATTTGGCTGCTTTAAAATTGAGATTCTCAACTAATTTGACTATTTAAGCGAAGCTGTTAATTGCCCATGTTAAGTTATAGTCAGAGCGTATGACTATTCGGCTGGAAATGCCGTGTTACGTATCCCTGCAAGCTAATATTAGCTATTTCTAGCTATTTATACTATAGTACTCAGCTACAGCTGACAACACTGTTAACTAACAGACATAAGCAGTTCATTACTGAGAGCGGCAGCGCGAGAGAGAGAGAGAGCGCGCATAAATATATGTTCAATAAAGCACAACAACAACAACAACGAATAGAGTTTGGTAAGAAAAGCATATTTAAACTTTGTTTATCTATGGCCCAATTTATGAGTGCAACACAATATAACAAATTGGATAATTGAGGCTGCATTGAACCCTGGCTTTGAGCGCGACCTTGAGTTCAAAACTTTAAGTACTCTACAACAATTATTGTCGCGCATTTGTGTGCGTTTTAATGGCACATTTTAATGGCAGACCAAATTTGTGTTTACGGCAGACGGAACTAAATTGTGGCCAAAGGTTAGTGGCACCGGGCTTAAAAGACAAATAAATAAAAGTCGGTATAAATACGCGTCGCAGTCAAAGAAAGTGCGCCAGACTTCAATAGAGGAAAGAAACAAAAAACAAACAAACAAAAAATAGCACAAGTCACAAAGAAAGACATAAAAAAAACACAAACTGGTTGAACGCATTATCATTGCAGAAGTTACATAATGGCTTCGTCATCATCATCATCACCATCATCAGCCTCATCATGAAGATCATCATGCAGAGACAGCAAACCAGAAAGAGCCAAAGACAATTTGGCCTCAATTCCGTTACAGTTTTTTGCGCTGCATTTTAACAGCTGTGCAAAGCCGCTCTCTTTCACGCCCTCTCCCAGTCGCTCTCGCGCGCGCTTTCCCGCTCTCTCGAAAAGCTACGTGCCTGGCTTCACGTCAGCGAATTAAGCTATAAGTTGCGCTTGCCGCTAGAAATGCAGTCAAAAGCTTTTATTAAACTTCCGGCTGCTGTTGTTGCCGCAGCTGCCGTCAAGGAAGCGCTTCAACAGTGTTATTTAACAGTGTCAGGACTTTCACTTTCATTGAGCGCTGTTAAGAGCGCACATATTAGATCAGAAGAAGATTTCAAGCAGACTTTGCTAAGCTTTCCGGCTGAGCTTTTAAGCTTTCGAGCGGGCGCTCTGCAACGCTCGCTGGCTTCAGACTGGAATTCAGTTACCAAACAAAACGCGCGCGGTCAACAACACAACTCGCGCGTTGCGGCGACAAATTACCGTTAGCGTTAAAAACGTGCCCAGCCAATCAGTTGATTTGGATATTCACAAAATTTGTGGCCATGGCAAATTTAAATACACTGCTGCTGCCTGTAAGTCTTGAGAGAGTGCGCGCTCGTCGTGCATTTCACTCGCCGCTGTTGTTGACCCCATCAATTAACATGGCCAAAGCAAAAGCCGCGCGCTGACACAATTTCCGTGTGCCGCCTGCGCGAAAGTCGCACCAAAAAGAAAAGTGTCTGCACGAAAATGTGACTGGAATTCACAATGAGCATTGATGTTGTTGCTTTGCACTCATTGGTCAGCGCAGCGACACATTTTGAATTGATGTCGCGCCAATATTTGTAATCCGCGCACGGCCCTCGCCAGAGAGCGAGAGAGAGAGAGAGACCTTGAAATGTGCCCATTGCCCAATTCCGCAAACGATCGTGTTGCGGCTTTTCCGCTCTCTCTCTCTCTTGCAAGTTGACCAATTGAAGAGCTTACAAAATGTGTCATAATCTCAAAGCTGCGCTCAGGTTGGCCACTTGTTTTCGCTTTGTTGTTGCTGTTGTCGCTTTGCATTGCATAATCGTGGCCAATAACCGTTGTTAACTCATGCAAGACTTGGGCCAAATTACATGTGCATTTATTACTACTTTTATGTGCCTGACACACTGAACTAATGAGCCGGCTTTACTTTTCACTTGTTCACACAATAATTGCAAAACAAAACCTATTATCTTTCTTTTTCAGCTCATTTTACTAATTGTTGCATTTGTCGCGCACACATCCTACGCCACGGTGCAGCCGCGCGCGCCCAACTTCCAGTACTTTGAACGGTAAATGGCATTATATACAAATCAAAAACTTATTTATAAACAAATTCATCGAAACAGGCCCAAATATCGTTATCCGTACTATGATGAAAATGGCAAGGGAAAATTGCTATATGGCTATGGCGGACCGGATTTATACCAATACAAAACCTATACACCCCTGGAGGGCATACATTAAGCAGCTTTAAATATACATACACATCTATTTGTTTTTAATTGTTAATGAATTGTACTTACTAATTTATAAAAACTTAAACTAAACGCATTTGAAAATAAAACAATGTGCGCGCCAAAGTGGCAGCATTCAAAACTAGATGGCGCTGCGCCGTGTTGCTTTAATGGGCGAATGGCACAGTTGAGCTGTGAATGGCACTTTTCTATAGCAATCGACGGAAACGAAAGGCATTTCTTAAATATTATTAATTTTAATTGAAACAAAGAGGTAATTGTTTGTAAATATTTATAAAATGTCACGCAAGGAGGCACTGTCACAGTTTATCAATCAAATACACGGTCGTCCCGTGGCCGTAAAGCTAAACAACGGCGTGGATTACAGAGGTGCAAAATTGTTGCCGGCAGCTGCAGAAAATAATTTTAATTAATATTTGTTTTGTTTATAGGCGTTTTGGCCTGTTTGGATGGCTACATGAACATCGCGCTGGACCAGACCGAGGAGTACGTCAACGGGCAGCTGAAGAACAAATACGGCGACGCCTTCATCCGCGGCAACAACGTGCTCTACATCTCCACACAGAAACGCCGCGTGTAAAACTAATTTACTTAGATTTATTTCATAAATACACTACACTTTTTATAACTCAGCTCGTCGTGCCGTATTCTCTGGGTATGGCGCCAAAGTGTCGCAGCTGGCGCAGCGAGTAGCCGGAGCCGAGCGCCGCGATCAGCCGCTCGCCGCGACGCCCGAACTTGCGCTCGTAGGCGGGACGCCAGGCGCGGCCGAAGTGCGGATCGAAGGGTATTTCGCTGGGCTGCTGGAAGGGTGAATTGCCCAGAAAGAGGCGCTCCATATAGTCGAGGACGGCCTTCTTCTTCTGGAAGTGCGCCAGCAGCGGATTGGCCTGGTCCAGATTCTTGAAGTATTCAAAATTGACCAGATCCACATTCGAGAAGTCAAAGGTCGCCTGCACGCGGCACAGCTGCAGCTGTATCCAAAGACAAGGCCAATGTTAATGTGGTGCTTGGTGTGGACGCAGTGCGTCGGGCTAATTGCAGCCACTTACCATTAGGGCGACTGCAATTAAGACGTATTTGCACATGGCAGCTGGTTCGATTTAGCTAATTGATGTTCCCCTGCGGAGCTGGAGCACCTCACGCTTTCCCACACGGCATTCAACTGGCTTGGAATCAATTCGGCCACGGTGTGGACAATGTGCCCGCGATTTGCAATATATAATTTCCACTCTTGTCTTTTGTCGCAATCAATGCCATATTACCCAATCCGCCGCCCAGCCGAAATGTAAAAAGACAATACGGCCCACCACCTCGGCTAATTAATTGATATGCATGGCGCGTCGTTGAGGGGCGCCCCCACCCCGCCCCCTCGATCCAAGCGACGCTTGTGATAACCAGTCCAAGCGTAAAGAGCTGCTGCTGGCCCTCCAAATCAGTCCTAACTGCAGCCACGGAGCCAGTGCTGCCAGCTGCAGCTAAAAAAGTAGCTGAGTTCAATTTTTTAACGAGCTAGGTTACATTGCTGGCTACAAATTAGGAATAAATAGCTAAATGCGGTAAACTTTTTAACAGGTTCCGGCTGATCATCTCTTAAAACTAGCTCGAAAACAGCTAAATTGGCAGCACTGCACAAAACTGCATTAGATTTGTATTACACGCCACGAAGCAAGTGTTGCCAACTGCAGCTAAAAAAGTAGCTGAATACAATGTTATAAATAGCTAAAACAAGCTAGGTTAGTTTGGGTACAAATTCGGAATAGATAGCTAAATCAGTTGAACTTTTAAACTGGTTCCGGCTGACAATCTCTAATAACCAGCTCGAAAACAGCTAAATTGGCAGCACTGCACAAAACTGCATTTGTAAATAGCTAAAACAAGCTATGTTAGCTTGGGTACAAATTCGGAATAGATAGCTAAATCAGTTGAACTTTTAAACTGGTTCCGGCTGACAATCTCTAATAACCAGCTCGAAAACAGCTAAATTGGCAGCACTGCACAAAACACGGCATTTGATAAAAGCGTTCAATTTGAATTTATTATCGAATATCGTTGTTTTACGCGCTCAATAAACGGTTGCAAATAAACAAATATATAGATGAATACAATGCAGGATAATGCAGAATTGATTTGTTTAATTTGTGTGTCTTGGTAGTGTGTTGTTGCGTGTGCTTGTTGCCTGACTATTTTATTATTTATAAAATCACATTCCTATTATTTATAAATATATATATATAATGCGTTTTTCTCGTGATAATTTGCAAATTGAATTTCGCGCTTTTGAACCTAAATTTGTTTTCCACTTAATCATAAAGAATATTCAAATGTACAACAAAAGAACTGACTTGGATTAATCGGGCAATTAAAACAATGTGTGTGTGTGTGTGTGTGGGGAGGATGGGGAGATTTCATAGCGTGTTTTTAGTTGGCCCAAGACAACAATTGCTGCATAACTGGATCATCTACAAAGTGCAAACAACAAATAGGTTAAACAGTTTACAGGGTATATAATTTTCGTTCAGACTCACCATCATCCTCTGGCTTGGTTGCCGGCGCAAGGGCTGCCTTTTTCTTTTCCTTGGCCTTCTCGGGCAAATCTTCGGTTGGGGCTTCTGGCAACGTGGGCGTTGGCTCCGGTATGCCAATAATTTCCTTATCAAAGTTCTCCTGCTCGAGCTCATCGAGTTCCCGCTCGAGATCCTCATCATCGAGATCGGCGCCAAAGGCAACCGGATTCGAAATGGCATCAGAAATTTCGCGCGCCACATCCTGCTGCTCGGCAATGTCATCCATCATATCGTGCACCTTGTCCACATCCCTGCAAATCAACACAAAGAGAGACAGACAGTCAGGGATTCCTTTTGGCCAAATGCGATATACGCTATACTCACATGTTCTGGTGCGCGGATTTGAGCGCATCCGCGGCGTTCTTCATGGTGGTCAATACGGCAGTATTCGTGTTGGCGCTCTCGAGAGCCTCGCGCTGCATCTCGATCGTGGAGAGGGTGCCATCGATTTGTTGCAGCTGCTTCTCCAATCGCTTCTTCTTTTTCAGCGCCTGCAGAGCCACTGCAAAAAGTTTGCCGAAAGCACGAAATTAATTAAATGCAAATAAACGGCGAGACACACTTAAAGTAAACAAACAAAATGAATCTGAAGATGTGATGACAAATTTTGTTACGAGAATTTCTAGCCCAATACGAGTATACGAATACGAATAAACTATGAGTTTTGCAATTGAGTAAATGTTTATATTACGTTCTTATGGTTAGCATAATTATGCGTATATGTCGGGTGCGTCCATGGGGGCCAGCAGATGTTTGTATGTAGGAGCGCATAAAGAAAGGCGAAGAAATATATTGAATACTTGTTTTTACTTGAAATTCTAGCTCTAGCGTGGCAATGGATTTGTTATATATATATATTTATTTAGGCAACAAAAACAAAAGGCAACAGAAAATGAGTCATAAGTTTATCACTGATTTGCGGCGGGGTAGGAAATCCCTGATGTCTAGTTACTATCGGGGGCACCTACCTCTTTTGTTTTTGGATGCATTTTTGCGTGCTGTATTTAACTCCTCCTCAATTTTGGACTCGAGAAATTCCTGTTTTTTGATCAACATGTTCTCGGTCTCACGCAGCTTTTGTATCGCCTCGCCCGTCGTTGGGGCCACCTCCTTTTTGCCACCAAACATTTTCCCAAAGAAGCTCATCTTGTTTTTTGCCTTTTACACGAGCACACAGCACTAATTCTCTATTAAATTAAGTTTTTCCTATTGCGTTCTTCCACAGACGTTGTCTGGTGTTTTTGTCTACAGTGAGGTGTGCGTCATCGTGTTATCGAAAAAATAAAATACAACATCTGCAACCAATGGCACATATGATTAGAAACCGATAGGCAGCATGCAGCCCTGGTGGCAAGCCATTTTGTTCGCCAGCCCTGAGCCAGCTGCAAAACAGGGCTGTCCGCTTAGATGCATTAAAAACAAAACACACACAAAATATGGCAAATCGCACAGTTAAAGAGGCGAAAAACGTGCACGGCACCAATCCGCAGTATCTCATCGAGAAGATCATACGTTCACGAATCTATGATTCCAAGTACTGGAAGGAGCAATGCTTTGCACTTACCGCCGAACTGCTGGTGGATAAGGCCATGGAGCTGCGTTTCGTTGGCGGCGTCTACGGTGGCAACATCAAGCCGACCCAATTCCTGTGCCTCACACTGAAAATGCTGCAAATCCAGCCGGAGAAGGACATTGTGGTGGAGTTTATCAAGAATGAGGAGTTCAAATATGTGCGCGCTTTGGGCGCCTTCTATTTGCGTCTCACCGGCGCCGCCATCGACTGCTACAAATACCTCGAACCCCTCTACATAGACAATCGGAAGCTGCGTCGACAGAATCGCGCCGGACAGTTCGAGATCGTCTATATGGACGAGTATATAGATGAGCTGTTGCGCAATGATCGTGTGTGTGACATTATATTGCCGCGCATACAGAAGCGTTCCATACTGGAGGAGAATAACGAACTGGAGCCCAAGGTATCGGTGTTGGACGAGGATCTGGATGACGAGGTGCCTAGCGAGGATGAGGCCAAAGACTCTGAGGAGCAGGAGTCCGCTCGCCAAAAGAACACTTCCACAACTTCAGTGCGACGTCCTCGCCGCGGCCGCTCCAAATCCAAATCACGCAGTCGAGAGCGGGACAGAGATAGGCGTGGTGCACCCAGCAGCAGCAATGCGCGCTCCAGGGACTACTACGATGAACTGGAGGAATATGACCGCCAGCGCAATCGTGTGCGCAACCGGGACCCACAGAACCACAGCAACAACTACAACGACGACTACGATCGCCGGCAATCTGGACGCAATGAGAACAGGCGGGACGGAGAGCGCGACAGACGGGATAGGGATCGTGAGCGGGAACGCGAACGAGAGCGACATGGCGACAGAGAACGCGATCGGAATGGTGAACGTGAACGGAATGGTGAGCGAGAACGGAACGGAGAGCGAGAACGGAACGGAGAGCGTGAACGGGAACGCGGCAGCCGCTATGAGCATCGGGAAAGAGATTCACGCAATGAGCGCGAGCGTCGACGCTACTAAAATTTACGCTTAGTTTAATTTTTGCACACCTTTAAGTAAAAACGTAAAGCTCTTAAAATCAAATTGTTTTAGCTAAGGGTGGGGGCGTTCAGTTCAAGTGAACCAATAGTGGTTCAAAATAAAGCAAGGTAAAACGCGACAAGTGGGAACGGCGCCAAGCAGCAGCGATTTACTCAAAATGGCATGGTAAACAAAAACAGCTGTTGCTGCAGTGCAAAGCTTTGTTTTTAGAAAGTTTGTGAAGCGCTGAATGGGTTAATGTGCACAAGTGAACATAATATTATTAACTAGTATTGACTGAAGTGTAAACGCAGCAGGGCAGGAGCTTCGTTACGCTAAATTACTCACGCACTCACACACACACACACTCTGAAAGCGTTAACGTCGCAAATTCTAAAGAGCGCGAACCGTGTCAGTGGCTCACTTGAGCTCGACGCGCAGAGACTGTGAGATAAACGAATTGAATTGTTTTGTTTTAATAACAACGCAACATGATTTGCTAGTTCCTTTGTCTAAACAAATCGAGCAGCTGTTAAATCGACAACAATTTAATAATCAAAAGCGATCGCTGATGCAATAAAATGAGCACCTCAGACGCAGCGCCCCTGGTTTACGACTCTGAAGCTGACGTTGAGCATGAGGAGGCGGCGCCACGCCTACTTGATGCTGCCCGATCAGAGGCAGACGTCGAGGCACCAGCCCTGGCGGAACACAACGGCTCGGCCCTGGGCGCCAAATGGTTCATACTGGAGCCTGCTGTGTTCCTCATATTCCTGGCCCGCAGCTTGATCGGTTTGTAAACTAGATGACAATATGATTTAGTTCGTTATACTGAAACCACACTGTATGTATTGTATGTATTTTAGGGGCGGTCCTACAGAATCAAATTCTGTACCAAACCTGTGTGACGATCATGCACTACAATGAAACCGACTGCGAGCCGCTGCTGGGCAACGATCGCGGTTCGGAAGCTACAAAAGTAAGTTTAATTATACACTGAAAATTATCTTATATAGTATATGATATATAAGCCCATATTTACTAAAGCATGGCATCGTAATTAGATTTAATACAATTACAGAGAGCAAGAGAGTTGCCCGAAATGTGAGATAATTTCCATACAATTTAGCGTTAGCTAATCTTCCTTGAGGCAGTGAAATATAAGGGAATTGACCATATATCTTTGCCTAACTAAATCTTGCTTACCCATATCTTATAGCTCCCAAAAAGAAGGAGGAGGAATGGGTTAAACATAGAGTATTTATAATAATGTATTCTCTTCTTGTTATCTCAAAGGGCGTTTGTTATGCGAATTAATTATTATTCATTCAGAAATTTCCTTTGAAATTATTATTATCGCACAAGTTCATACTCCAATTTATTCATGCGGGCGATTAGCTATACGAAGCAGCATCAAGAAATCAAATCAAATTGAATTAAATCAAAACAACTATTCGACGATCTATTGTTTGAGGCGAGTCGAGAGATAAGGCTCGGACATCTGTAGACACATTGGAATCTAGCACAGCGCTATTGTCCCAGTTCTTATCGGGGCAAGAAAACATTTGAGAATGCGTGACTAATTGTTAAGCTTATCGGGGAAAATTATCGATCAAGGGATATTTCGGCATAGTACAGCCATGTCTAATGGAACGCAATGAATCATCTAAGTTGCATGCCAAAACAGTTGTTCTCTAATTGTTTTTCTTTTGCAGCGGCTGGAGATTACAGTTCAGGGATATTCGGCGGATATAACAATGGCCATATCGCTCTTGGAGAGCATAATACCCGCCTTCGTCAGCCTCTTCATTGGACCCTGGTCGGACAAATTTGGACGACGGCCCATCCTGCTGACCGTCTTCACAGGTTGCTGCTGAAAATTAACATGCCAAATTTGTGTGTTTTTCTATTAATCATTCCTTCAACTTTCTAGGCTACGTGGCCGGCGCAACGATATTGATTGGCATCGGTGAGGTGACCGCGTTCCGGAACATCAGTCCCTGGTGGTACCTGCTGCCTTCGGTGCCGTCGGTTCTAAGCGGCGGCACTTGCGCTCTAATCACCGGCATTTATTGCTACATCTCCGATGTGGCCAAGGAGCGCAAGCGTGCTTTGCGGTGAGTCGAAATTCCTCCCCCGTCGCAACTGCATTCTAATCCGCGTGGCATATTTTTAGCATGGTGCTAAATGAGGCGTCGCTGTGCACCGGCATGATGGTTGGCAATGTGGCCAGCGGCTACATATATGCGGCTACAGATGCGGTCACACTCTTTGCCATTGCCGCCTGCCTTATGTTTCTGGCCGTGCTCTATGTGTACTTCTTTGTGCCGGAGAGCTTGCCCGACGAGGATATGCATCGGGGCTCGCGTGTGCGCGAATTCTTTCGCTTCGGCCTGGTCAAGGATCTCGTGCGCACCTGCTTCCTGCCACGGGCCAACTACGATCGGGCTATCATTTGGCTGACCATGGTGGCGCTCACCATAACCATCTTCAACATGGAGGGCGAGAACACGGTCAATGTGCTGTACATGCGCGAACAGTTCGACTGGACCATCAAGGACATCAGCCAGTTCAATGCGGCGCGCATTGTTATCCAAATAGTTGGCAGCGTCGCTGGCATGATTGTGCTGCGCCGCGTGCTGAAGGTGTCCATCATCAGCATGGCGCTGCTCGCCCTGGCCGCCTGTGTGCTGGAGAGCACGGTGCGCGCCACAGCGCACTATTGGTGGGAAATGTATTTGGGCATGACCCTGGGCATGATGCGCGGCGTCCTGGGCCCCATGTGCCGTGCCATATTATCTCATGTGGCGCCGGCAACGGATGTGGGTGAGTAGCTATCAGAGCCCTGCATCAAACTCGGCTACTCAATCGAACGAACCTCGACGTGTTCGAGTCAGCAACATGTTCGAGTTCGAACACAACCGAAATAATCTTGACTCACGCGATCAAGCAATGCTCTAATGACTAATGATTATCTTTGTCATCCACTAATAGGCAAAATCTTTGCTCTGACCACATCAATGGAAATGGTTTCACCGCTCGGTGCTGCGCCGATTTATACAGCTGTTTACAAGGCGACCGTGGCCTACTATCCGGGCGCATTCAACTTCATAAGCGCAGGTCTATTCTTTCTGTGTTACATTCTGATGGCGTAAGTGGACTACATGAGATACATATATTATCAATGCTTTCAATTCAAATATATCTGTCTTTCGTGCAGCATCATCTTTGGCATACAGAAGTCGATGGGCAGTGCCAGCGCCTATAAGGTCATAGGCAGCTAACCATCTCGTCTCTGCTTGGCTTAGTTCAATTAAAACTTGCTATTTGTGATGATGCCTAGACAGTTTTTTGTACAGTATATAGGATCAGTTTTTATATCAGTGTGTAAAGTATTAGCATGATATTTATCTTTTTGTTCGAAACCTAATTGTAATTGTAATTGTACATTGTTTTTCACTCAATTTGTAATTGCCCATCGGAACTGACAATGTAAATACATAATTATAGTTTTTATAAACTGAACATATATACAAATGATGCATAATATTATAGAGAATGACACCAATAAAATTGTATAGAGCAACTAAAATTAAAAAGAATGTAATTTTGATTTATTTGTATGGTAAAACGCTTATCAAGACTGCAAACTGATTTAGTATATAATAATAATAATAAATCTGGTTTGACCGAACACCTGGTCGCACAAATGCCCATTATATAACTCGTAATAGCACAGACGTTTTAAATTAAACATTTAAAATGTAGCCCGCAATTTCTATATGAAAATATTAAACGACTTGCAATATTTTCAGTAGAACGGGCAATAAATTTAAAATTGAAGTATTTCATAACATTTGAACCAAAGCCTGGCTCACAAAGAATTAGTTCCAAATGTGAACCAAATAGTTCTTTTTTTTTTAGTTTGCAGCCCTGGCAGTTAAACACACAATTCAAATGAGCTGTCGATATAAATAATGTAAATGTGCTCATAAACCATCAAAATGAAGTTCACCGCGTAACTAAAGGCATCTGTTTGTATTATTTGTTTGTTTTTAGAAATTCAAACTACTCGTTAAGTTTATTTCTTATTAGAGAAACGGCGCTTTGGGCAACCACATCACACGGATAAATACATTTAGTCATAAATATTAGGCTAATGGGACATACACTACATAGGCGGATCAGATCGGAACGGTTGTGTCTTATTTTAGCACCTTGGCGTAGTACTCTTGATGCATAAACTTAATGCGTAGCACACAGCTGCAGAAATGTTGTCAACAATTAGCATAAAAAGCACAGAAATCGGCACAGAATCGGCGCAACTTACCCGATAAATATGAACGACATGAAATACAGGCCCGCGCTCACAAAGTTGAAGAGACCCGGATAATAACCCAGCGAGCACTTGTAGATTAGCGTGTAGAGCGGTGCGGCCACTGGAAGAGCAAATTAATTAACAATCATTAAAAGCTGGACGAAGCGAAAGAGATGGAGGAGGGGGAAAGGGGATTATGCTGTAGGCCTTACCGAAAGGTGCAAACGATTGCAAAACATTTTTAATTGAGAAAATTTTTCCTGCAAAACAAAAAGAAAGCAAGGCAATTAATTAACGGAAACCACACAATCATTCAAATTAATAGAAAACTCACCCAAATCTGAGGCAGGTACTATATTTGAGACAATGGTGCGGCACATGGGGCCGCCAATGGACCGAAAGACGCCCAAAACGACGGACAGATACATGTGCCAGGGCTGCGTCGAAAAGCCCCTGGCCATATTCTTGAGTATTTCCGAGGCGAACGCGAGCATCGCCAGTGTGACCACAGACAGGCGAAAAATCTGCAAAAATAAATAAAACCTAAGATCATCCCGCTTATACTCAATAGAGTATAGCCCACCTTGCGCAGTATCAGAAATCCGATGAGTGCACCCACCATGGGCACCAGGTGGCTCACCGTCTCGTAGAATGTGTAATCTCGCACGGACCAGTGGAACTTTTCGCGCACAAACAAATACATGACCGTCATGACGCCGTCTGAAAAGAGAATGGAGTGCTTTAGTCAAGTGTGACCGACTTGTCGCTACGCTGTAACCAGTTTCCCATTGCTGTGCTTCGTCTGGACTCATTTTCATGCTTGAAAAATTAAATTCATGTAAGCTACTTTCTACTTCCCGTCTGTATATACAACAGCAATATACCCTGTTTTTTGCACTTGAGTCCTGTTCAACTTACCAAAGACAAAGATGGAGAGGCACATGGCCAATGTGACTAGCCAAATAATTGCGCGCGCATGATTTTCGCGTGGCTTGGTGCAGGTGTTAACCATCTCTCGGATGTGTGAAAAGCTGAAGAGGCCAGCTCTTTTGGCATCCGGCTGCTGCTGCTTGGCCTGGGCTTGCGCTCTGGCCTTCACCTTGGGCGGCAGCTGTTCCACATATTTCGCCAGCAGATCCTCATCGAATGTCATGTTGGGCGTGGCCGGCGTGGGCAGCTGATGGATTTGTTGCTTCTGTTCCGACTCGTAATCGGGATTCATCAAGATGGGCGGACAGTCAATGGACATGCATTCCGGCTGCAGATCAGAAGCCGTAATGGGCATATCCTTCTCGCCACTGGCTGCGGCTGCGGCAGCCTCTTTGGCCTCCTGCGCCTGCCGTATGTGCAGGCTCTCCGGCACAAAGAATATGACAAAGAGTGTGCCCAATGTGGTTATGCAACCCGAGATGCCAATGGTCGTGGCCGCATTCGTTGCCGCATAAACGAAACTGGACAACAGCGAGCCGCTTGTGAGTCCAATGAAGAACAGCGACTCCATGAAGATCATGCTGAGATAAAAAACTTTGGATTAGCTTGGGCCTAGTCGAAGACTAGAGCTTATAATAGAGCTCAGCAGCTGTCGCTTCATATGCCTTAAAAGTCATTCATTCAAACGAAGTTCGAGCTACTCATGCAACATGTTCGAGGTCAAACAGCTCTGTCGAGTCGAACGATTCGAACGGCTCGAGCTAAATGTTCGAGGGGGCTCTGACTTATAACCTACCGATAAGGCCGCGTCTTGGTATCCGTTATGTCCGAGATGAAGCACAGGGCCGCCACGGAGAAGACACAATTGCCGCCTAGCAGAGAATGCGGCACCGCGGCCGCAATATACCACCAGGGATTGATCACATAATAGCTGGACAGCTCGCAAATGGCAGATGTGACCAGAAACGAGGCGGCAAAACCTAAACAGGCTATTCAATTACACTGCACATAGTATATATATATATAATTGGTACATACCTATCATCGATACGATGAGCAACGGCTTGCGTCCATAATGATCCGACCAGGAGCCAATAAACAGGCCGCAAAAAGCGGGAACAATGCTCTCCAGCAGCGTGCGCGATAGAAATAGATTTGCCACATATGGCTGCAGTTCCGTTTCAATTGCCTGTAAAATAATACGATATAGTACCTAATATACTTAAAGACAGTGTTGCCAAAAAAAAGTAGCTGAAAATAGCTAAATTAGCTTGCTGAGCACAAACTATAGCTGAATTCATTTTAAAACATGCAAAAACTAGCTGAATTAGCTTGCTGAGTAAGAATGATAGCTGAATGATTGTTAAATCAAGCTAAACATAGCTGAATAAGCTTGCTGAGCACAAATTGTAGCCGAATTAGCTTGCTGAACACAAAGTATAGCTGTTAAAACAAGCTAAGCATAGCTGAATAAGCTGAATGCAATCTTAAATCTGTCTAAAACTAGCTGAATTAGCTTGCTGAATGCAAATTGTAGCTGAATTCAATGTGAAATCTAGCCGAAAATAGCTGAATTAGCTTGCTGAGCACAAATTGTAGCAGAATGCAAGCTAAGTTAACTTGCAGATATAATTTGTGGCTAAAAATAGTCAAATGAACCTGTTAAACAAAAGTTGGCAATAAATATTGAATTGCCCAATTATAGCTAAATCAGTTTAAATTTTTTAACTACTTTTCGGCTAGTAATTAGATGAATTGGCAACGCGATATATAGATTAGAGTATTTGGATATGCGAACCTTTATCTCGGCGCTGGCATTTTTATCGTCCAGCAATTTGCAGTCGCTGACATTGTAGCGAAAGATCACCGTGCAGGTCTGGTAGATAATCTGGTTCCTCAAGATGGTATCTGTTGGAATAGCAGCACTGGGAAATAGCTGATGCATATAGACAATGCTAATTCGAGGCACTTACTGGACAACGTGAGCGAAAATAACAGCATAAACACAACCGGTTCGATGTAGAACATATGAAAGATGCGATGCCATTGGAAACTTCTGAGACGCTTCAGTGTCAGGATATGCGAGACTTTTTCGACCATTTTTATAATTTCTAATTGTCAGTCGCAAGTCGAATCAAAATACTTGTTTTATATTGTTTTGCTTGAAGTGCAGGTTCAACGGATTTCAGACCTCAGTTAATTCCGTTCGCGCAGTTACATTATATGTTTATTAATTAGATGCTGGCAAACTTTAAACAATGGCTAAAAACTTAACACAATGAGCACGTCACAGTTCAATTTAAATTACGTATACGCTATATATATATATATATATATAGATTTATACACTCTCATGTCGGGCTGGATGCTTTGCTGTTGAATTTGAAGCCCGACGCTTTTTGCAATTCTATTATTTACAATTGGAGTTGGATTCTCGAAATGAGCGTCTAGCGTTAAGTCCGAGCGTTTATATATGCGGCGACAAAGGCACACACAAAAAAAAAAAGAAAAGCAAGGAAAACCCAGATGAAATAAAACTAAAAAACCATTCAAACTATTCCACAACACTTGTTCATCAAAAATCCAATGTTCTAGTCGTAGTTCTTTCGATATATGCACATACTATTATATATGTATGTATGTATGTACTTTGTCGATGTCTGTTGTTGCTCAGAAAAAATTCCGTTCCCGACTATTGAGTTTTAGTTGCGGGTCTGGCTTGTGTTAGACCCCGAACAGCAGCTTGATACGGCGGCGACAACGTTTCCGATTCGTTTAAATTCGATTTCACTGCGCTGACGGCTTAAATAAGTTTTTTTTTTTTTGTTTTTTTTCTGTGTGGCCGAGCTGTAGCTGGTCTAGGCCCAGAAACTCTCCTGAGCCTCAGTTGTTGTTTTTTTTTGCCAGTTCGTGCAGTTCGCAAAGCCAAGTTCGCAAAGCCAAGGCCCGAAGGAGAGTTCCATCGCAAAACAAAACTTTAACAACGACTAATGCTAAAAACAACTGCTTTTAACAATCTCTCTCTCTCTCTCTCTCTCTCTATATATATATATGTGTATAAATAATGCCCAATCATGCCCCAAAACAGGCCGTGCCGCATGCGTGCTAGGGGTAGAATCTAGATAATTAATCAAATGTCGAACTGTACACACACTCGTATTATTCTCTTAAATCAAGGGTGTACAAAAAATGTGGCGTCTAATTTAAAATTAGCAAATGAAATTAGCGCTCGATTTAACATGGAGTTAACACCACTCCATTTTGCTGGGAAGTTTATTTATTTGCCTTTATTATAATTATATTTATTTGTTTATTTATTTGTGCATTGGAAGAGTTTGTCAAGTGACTGCGCACACGCCGTTGCCGTTGCCGTTGCCTGGAAATTAACAGAGGAGCAGTCCGTCCGTCCGAGCGTGCTGTTATATTAACCCATATTTGCAATCCAATCGGAAATTGTTTTGAGAATATTTAGAATTTTTAAATTATTGCAAAATGTGTGCAAATAGAAAGCGCAATTACACATGCTATTTGCCTGTGTGTGCGCTTTTTTATGGTTCCAAATGTTGGTCAATAAAAAAGCCCCCTTTGAGTACACATCTAGACTTCACACATTGGTTGGTGTTTTTTTTATAATGTGCAAATACGTAAATAGATATTTGTATATGGCATATTAGCCAATTTGTATAATTGATGTGCGAATTTGCCGAATGACTGGCGAATTATCTTCTTTCTTTCTTTTTTTTTTCGTTTAATATCAGCTTTGTGGTTAAGATATCACCTGAAAATGGGCTCGTAGTGTGCGGGATGCGAGGCTTTCTTGCGCCAGACCACGCTGAAAGAAATAAACAAGAAAGATTATTTAGCATACCAATATTTGCATAAATCTATTAACAAATTGACCACGCACAGCAGCAAAATGATCGCGAGTCCAAATAAATTGGCGCTGATCAGATTAAAGAAACCCGGCGCACTGCTCAATGTGAGCGTGTAAAATATTATATACAGTGTGGAGGAGGCGAACGGGGAGAGGGTCTGCAGCACGCTGAGCATCGCAAAGACTTTGCCTAAAGTGAGAAAGAAAAGATACAAATGTAGCTCAAAGATGCATTTCAAACGAACGAAAATAACGATACATTTTGGAGGAACGAAAGATAAGATACAAAAGTAGCGCACAGATAGATTTTAAATTATTGAAAGAAAAGATACAAATATATCTCAAAGATAGATTTTAAATGAACTAAAGAAAAGATACAAATGTATCTTAAAGATAGATTTTTAATGAACGAAGGCAAAGATACAAATATAGCTCAAAGATACATTGCAATTGAATGAAAGCAAAGATACATTTCGAACGCACGAAAGAAAAGATACTAATGTAGCTTAAAGATAGATTTTAAATAAACGAAAGAAAAGATACAAATGAAGCTTAAAGATAAATTTCAAACGAACGAAAGTAAAGATACATTTTGGAGGAACGAAAGAAAAGATACAAATGTAGCGCAAAGATAGATTTTAAGTGAATGTAAGAAAAGATACAAATGTATCTCAAAAAGAAATGATACATTTTTGAGGAACGAAAGATAAGATACAAATGTATCTCAAAGTTAGATTTTTAATGAACGAATACAAAGATACAAATGTAGCTCAAAGATAGATTTTAAATGAACGAAAGAAAATATACAAATGTAGCTCAAAGATACATTGCAAATGAATGAAAGCAAAGATACATTTCGAGCGCACGAAAGAAAAGATACAAATATAGCTCAAAGATAGATTTTAAGCGAGCGAAAAAATAGATACAAATGTTGCTCAAAGATACCGTTCAAGGGAACGAAAGATAAGATACATTTCCAACGAACGATATAAAATCAGAGATACATTTCAAGCGAACAAAAGAAACGATGCAGATTCAATCGATCGAGTGATGAGCTACAAATGTACCTCAAAGATTAATTTTAATAGATTTACGCACCGCGCTCCTCGCCCGGCAACAGGTTCGTTATCATGGTGCGACACATGGGATTCACCAGCGATTTGAATATGCCCAAGCCAATGGCCAGATAGATTTGCCAGTCGACGAAGGCAAACGCTTTCATCAGACTGCTCGCGGCATGACTCAGCAGCGAGATGAGGGCCAGCCACAGAATAGCCGACTTGCTGCACTGCAATGGCAACAACAAATATTATCTTAAGATAAATATAGTATATATTTTATATCATTTGTAAATCCCACCTGGCGCAGCGACCATAGAAACAATATGCCGCCGGAACCGGCCACGGCTGGCACCAGAATGCTAACCGACTCGTAGCTGGTGAACTCGCGCACGGTCCAATGGAACTTGGCACGCATAAACATATAGAACACCGAGTTGCTGCCATCTGAAATGGAATTAATCAGAGTTTCTTATACTAGAGCCCATTTGGAGAGGGAAGGACCCGAAAATTCAAGGCTCGAGCCGAGTTCGCTTCAAACGCGACTCCTTCGTTTGTGTTCGAGCTCAAACATGTTGCATACTTGAGTAGCTCGAACTTCGTTTGAATGAATGTCGTCGGGCCAGATGAATCCTTTATTCACTCACCAGATACAAATGCCGTCAGCAGCAATACGCACATGAGCAGCACCAGTATGGAGCGATCCTTGTATTCGCGTGTTCTCGCACTGCTCCGCCACAAATCCAGCAGCACAAATCCCTCAGACAGCTGCCGCTGAGTTAGACTCTCGGGCAGCAGGACGGCCATCACGAACAGGGCAAATAATATTGAGCAGGCCGATATGACAAAGATGATGTAAGCATTGGTCGCCTCGTAAACGTAGCCAGAGGCAAAGCTGCCCAAAAGCAGGCCCACATAGATGCACAGCTCGTAGGCGATCATTCTGTTTGGCGGAGCAAACAGATTTATACGTATATAGGGTATATGGGTAAAGGGCTTATCACCTGTAGGATCTCATTTTGCCCGTGGAGACGTCACCTATAAAGCAAACCGCGGCCACGGAGTAGGTCACGCTGCTGCCCAGCAGCGAGAGTGGAATTATGGTAATCACATAGAACCAGGGACTGACCAGGCCATTGAGCTGCATGGCCAGATAGGCAATGCAAGCTGAAAGTATGTACTGCAGCGCATAGCCTGGAAAGAAGATTGAAAATAATTAATAACAAGGGGTTAATAAGGTTAATCTAAGCGACTCTGTTCGACTAGAAGATACCCTAACTTTGGTCTTTCCAGCTTTTATAATCTGCAAGTCGCTGCGAATCGATATTTATCGATTTTAGATTAACAAACAGACGGACTCACCCAAATAGGAAGCCAGCAACAGGGGCTTGCGTCCATAGCGATCCGCCAGGGCGCCCACGAACAAGCCACAAAAGGCTGGAACAATGCACTCGACGATCTTGATGGTAAGGAATACGCGCGCCGCATATGGCTGAACCTCGGCTTCGATTCGTTTGGTCTCATTGGTGGCGTTTTTGGTGCCCAGCAGGCTGCAAGCTGCTTCCGGGTAACCAAATCCCGCCGTGCAGCTTTGATAGATGATTTGAGATTTCAAAATGGTTGCTGAAATATGCAAAGAAAATACTTTAACATGCTTGACCGTGACATCTTTCGCAACCTACATGAGAAATTGTATGCGAAGAGCAGTATCAAAATCAGCGGCTCCAAGAGAAAAGTTCTGGGCTGAGCACGAGGATTGGCAGCTAGTTCGATTGGCTCCGCGTTCTGCTGATTGCCCATTGCTGGTACTATGGAGTCGTCGTGGGTGTCGAGGCTTGCCTCGCTGCTGCTGGGACTGCTGAGACCCGTTTGCGGGTCATGGCTGTGCCGACTGGATTTGGCGACGAGCTTCTCGTGTGCGTGCGGTGCCTCGTCCATAATAAGTTTGCAACTGAGACATGCTGCCAATTGTCGCCCGTTCAGATTGAGTTGAAAGTGGCATAGCTTGCAGATAAAATATCGCCATTTGTATGCATGTATGCGTGGGGGTTTCCATTAGGACTACAACAAAGCTTGCGAGTATATAAACACAAGCACAATAATATTGCTGTTTGATCCAATTAATGAGTCAGCGACCAAGCTCGTGTTTTACTTATAGAACGTGCCTTATCTTAGCTCAAGTTACTTGATTTCAATGCTTTTAACTAACATTTTTCATTCTGTTAAGTTCACTATTTGAAGTTGTTGAAATAATTAATCAATATGAGCAGCGATCAGATTTTAGCTGGCTATAATGTTATCCGAGAAGAACTGTTAACTCATATTTTGAATTGATTCCGTTAATTTGTATTCAAGGCAAATTTAATACTTTTTAGTGCCTGCGCGATTAAATACCAAATTCGATAAATATGCAAGTTATCGATTTTGAATCGGGTTAATCGTAGAGGAACTACCTTCTGGACTGTCAACAAATGGAAGACAAGAGGGAACTGCGATCCTTGCTTTTGGCAACCAAAACAGGAAAACAGCTTTCGGAATATCATATTAAATTGCTGCAAAAGCAAAATATCAGCACAGCTGAAGAATTTATAGATGCAGACAATGTGCACGCGATCTTGGCGCTTGGCAGCGATACAACTGAGGAAATTAAGCGGGAACTGTTGAACTTATATGTGGGCAGGATTAAGTTCAAAACACTCTACCAATCGCAGCCCATAAACTACTCAACTGGCATAGAAGAGTGTGTAAAAGCAGTTGGATTTCTTAAATTGTCAGTTAACCACGAATTTACTTACAGCTTGGACAAATTGCTGGAATCCATTGGACAACCCTTTCGTCCTGGCCGCGTCTGGGAGCTCATTGGCGATAATGATGTGGGCAAAACCGAATTGTTACACACGCTAGCAGCAAATTTCGTTTGTAAATATGGAGAGCAGCATCAGGTGTTGTTTGTGGACACCAATTTGGACTTTGATAGCGAACGCTTGGAGGAGATTTTGTTGGAAAGGCAACAACTGAATGAAGCAGCTATAGACAGTTGTTTGGAAGCAGTTAATGTTTTGCAAGCAACCACAGCTGAATCTTTCATTGCAGCACTGGCAGCTCTACTCGAGAAGCTAGCCAGTCCCAATGCCAAATTCGAGACCGTCTCGCGCATAAAAGTGGTCCTCATTGATTCCCTAACAGCGTGTTACATCTTATATCGCAGCAGTTGTGGACGTAACCAAGGACGTAGATTTCTAACAGAGCTGGCGATGATTATTCGGAAACTGGCTGCACAGCATGGAATAGCTTTTATCATAGGCAACATGACGTTCTCCCCGGATGATGAGCGTAAGTATTCGCTTAGGCAAGACTATTTTAATGTTTAAATATATGTACAGCTGGTATGTTATTATTCGCAGCCAACGACTTGGGCGAGGATGAGGATGTAGACAACGAAGGGGGATTGACCCAAGAAAGCGCAGAAACGCAAGAGGACTGCACCTTCTTAGGGGAATATTGGTGCTCGGTGTGCACGCTGACTTTGGTCCTGGAGCTGCCGGAGGAGTCCCACAGCGACGGCGACGGGTTGCGGCTGCTCAAGGTGCTTAATAATAACTTCGGCATTAGCGACGGCAGCTGCTTGCTGCGCATCACAGACGCCGGCGTCATTTGAGCTTAGTTGGGCGGACGACGTGGTCCAGTGGCCAAATGTTGTTGCTGGTAAGATTTCATCACGCGTTTGCCAGGTTCTATGCCGTCGCTCAGACCGGGCCGCTTGCGTTTATTGGCGGCATTCATTTTGTTGCCACTTGATGATTGCGGTGTAAATGTAGGCGCTACCGTCTCCACTTTTGCCTCATTACCAGCTATTTCTTCGACACTCAAATCCGAGTCGTGCGCATATTGGCAGCTGGTGCCAAAGCGGCAGCGTCCTTTTCTATAATTCCAGCATATTTTGCGCCCATTCTTGAGCTGTAAATGTGCATCGTTGTTCACCATTTTGACGTGCCGCTCCAAGGAAGCCGTTTTATGCAACTCCGCCTCCAGAAATGGATTGCTAAATACATCGCCTGTCCGTTTTGCTGCCGCATTGTCCAGCGCGGCGCTCGCACTTGGCAACTTTGCGAGTTTCTGTGCAGGAGGCGGGCTGCAATTAATCGCCTTATAAATATATGTTAACATTTGATAGATTCTTTAATTACCTTTCTGACTTGTTTGTTTGTTCTTTTTCGGACTCGTTGCTGCTACTTTCCGCATCAGATTCAGATGAATCGCTATAATCAGCGACAAGCGACATTGTTTACGTTTTTATCAACAATAATCAGTGTGACCGCAGTACTCGGATGGTAAAAAGTAAAATACCGAAAGAAGAATATACTAAACTGCTGTACAGCACTGTTCGATATTTAAAATTGTTTTTAGATGTTTTTAAATAAATTAAGTTAATATAATAAACTTTTTAAACATATAGTTTACAAAAGATTTTTTCAGAACATTATCGTTTCATTTTTAATGAGTCCGTTTTAATTCATAATACATATGTTTAATCACTTTATGCATGCTTTAGTTAAGGTGTATATGTATGTATGTATATATATATGTGTGTGTGTGTGTATGTATGTATATTCGCTAATTACTATTTATACAATTTATATAAATATAAAAAATTAAACGTTTCATAGACTTTGTTACAAATTTGTTAATATGTTTGTTTGCTGATAGCCACGCCTACGCTCCGCTCACACAATGCAGCATGTGTATAAAAATATGCAAAACTTTTAATACAATAAAGGAAATCCGTACATCTCCATCTAAAAACTTTTGTGGCAAAAAGATAGATGTACATTTTGAAAGCCGAACCACTCATAAGTTATGCTTAACTTTAGTCGGGCTGTGATAGATGAGCAGACGCTAATCAATTGTCTGACGTGCCGACGGATCATCGCGATCAATGGGCGGCGGTGAGGTAAGCACTTCCACGCTCTGCGCTGGTCCTGCGGTGAGGTAGCCCGCCGTTGGATTAATGCCTGAAAGCAGAAATATATACGATTACATATATAGTTTTAACTTATATCAATGGGTTGTATAGTTATCGAGGCTTGCAAGCGCCTTGTCCCCCTTTCGAAGCTTTAACTGGTTGGGAATTGTAAGAGTCAAGCAACGAAAAGAGTACAGCGTGTCCATTTTCTGTGTTTCACACTCATTTGATGCCCACCAGTCAAGTAGCCACGTATATTGGTGTCGGTTATGAAGAGATCGTGGCGTTGATCCTTGAACTCTGCCCAGACTGGATGCTTGAGCAATATTTGCGTGACACGATCGCCATAATTCAGATTGTGTGTCATGCCCTTGAGCGCAGCGACAATTTGTGCTTTGACCGCGGATGCATTATCCACGAACTCCAAACGACTGTCCAGTAGTCCCAGCAGAAACGGTATAAGACCCGCCTCAAGCGATTGACTGATCAAAGAGTCCTGTCGCGGGGAGTTAAGCGAGAGTGAATACGATTTTAATTTATAGCCCCTTGGTTACTTACATGCTGATGCTTGAAGAGACGACTCAGCGTTTCGCATGACTTCTCTATGCAATCCCGATTCTGTTCCATGCATCGTTTCACTGGAGCTATGCACTCCGTTTGCGAGATGGCCGCCACACAGAACTGGAATGGAAGGATTTGCAGTTAGGAATAGTCTCAAGATACTCAAACCCGGACGCACCTCGGACAGCGACAGCTGGTGTAATACTGATAGCGTGTTCTTTGGCTGCACAGAGAGCAGATTAAACAGCTTGGGTATGTGGCCCAGCACGGGTATATCGTCGGCCAGCACGGGCTGGGAGCGCAGCAGCTCTACCAGCGCTGTTGTCGACAAGTCCAACACATCCGGCTCCGTTGTGCTCTTGCTGATCTGCTCGACCACAAAGTCCAAGAGATCGGAGAGAAACTGTTTGGGCTTGCGTAATGTCCAGGCAGGATTGCTGACAAACAGGCGCAAATAGACGCCGGCGACAACAATCTCATTGGACACAATATCCTTCAGAATTTCGGGATCCTTCCACAGGTGTCGCGCATTTGTCTTTTGCTGCTGATAGAATCTGTTGCACGCCTCGGCGACCGCGTCGCACACATTCGAGCGCGTATTGTCGTTCCAGATCAGCTCCGGATGCTCGTGTATGGACTCAAACAACTGCACGGATGTCGGAGGTGATTCGATCATGGCATCGATGAATAGCGCAGGCAGAAACTTGGATACGGTTATTCGCACCTTGGGCCCGCTCAGACGATCCGCTGTCATTTTGGCCAAGATTTCGGCGCACATTTCGCGTATTTGCGGATTACGTGAATTGCAGAACATGTCCAGCAAATAGATGACAGCGCCCTTGGCCTGAGCCTCCTTGATCATCTCCTGGACGTTCATCAGGCCGGACAGAGTCTCCAGCACCTTGACCTGGCTGGCGCGCAGCTCGGGATCCTTGAGTGCCACCAAATAATTGCCAAGTATCTCGCAGGCAGCCACCTCCGAGACGCATTCCTTGTTGCGCGACACCAGGGCGACCACTTCCAGAGCCACAGCCTTCACACTGGAGTTCTGCCAATAATCAGACGAGTTAGATATATCTGTGAGAAGTTCTATCATATCATAATTCCTACTTACATCGGCGAAAATGTTGTTGGCCAGAAAGCCGAATATCATATCAAAATTGCCAATGCACTGGATCTCCACCTCGGCGTTTGTCTTGATCACCGCAATCAGCGCGCGCAGCACCATCGTTATGTGCAGCTCCAATTGGCCATCGTTGGCATAGTCATGTTTGGCCTGCTGCAGCGAGAGCTGATGCTCCGCTTGTGCGTCCGTTTCCAGCTTTTTGCGGCTCTTCGAGCGATTGTAGGCATTCAGCACCTCGTCGAAGGTGCCGACAGTTTTGACTTCCTGCTGCTGTTGCTGCTGCAGCTGGGGATGATTGGGCGCCAGCGTGGGCGTCAATATGCCATCGCTGCCCATTTTGGGCAGTGCGGCTGGAGCTGGGGCTGCTGCTGGCGACCGTTTGAATTGCAGAAACTGATAGGCATGCTTTAAGTACTCCAGCAGATCCATAATGAACTGCTTGGGCTGGGCAATGGGATGCGTGGGCATGTCGTTGTATATGCGTATGAATATGCCACCAATTTGCAGCTCATCCCTGGCAAAGTTAAAACATGATTAAATAGCTGATATAGAAGTATTTGACAAGGATCGGGGCTACCCACTTGTGCGCATCGAACTCGAAGCCGGCAACCAGCTCGTAGACTTGTGCAATATCCTCGTGTGTCTCCTTAGCGGAAGCCAGGCGCTGCTGTTCCAGGAAATCCTTGAGCTGTGCGCGCGTTCCATTGTCCCAGATGAGATACGGATTGCGCGTATTGGCCGTCAGCAGCTTGAGCACCTCGCTGTCCCGCACGCTCGCCAGCTGGTTGGCAATGTAGCGGGTCAGCAGGCGGTCCAGCACCTGCTTGATCAGCGTATTCTTCGGCTCACCCGTGACAATGTACTTCTGTTGAATGGCGTTCTGGCGGGCCAGCAGCTGCTGCTGCTGATTCTGCTGCTGGTCGCTGTCCGTGGGCGTGGAACTGGATGTGTCGCTGCTGCTGACGCTGGAATCCTGATTGGTGAGCACCGCCGGCTCCTTCTCCTTGCCCGTGGTTATGGCCAGCTGTTTGCTCTGCAGCGGATTTTGCGCATTTTGCGTATACGCCGAGTTGGTCGTTGATGACGCTGATGACGTTGATGGCTTCGGCTTGATGGCGGGCGCCGGCTTGGCTGTCAACGCGGGCGAGCTGGATTCGCTGCCGGCGGTGATGGGCTTGTGGCGCAGCTCCATGTCGTAGCCAGCCAGAGCTATGCAGCCGAGCACGGCCATTTTGGCCAGATTGTTGGCCAACTGCTGCTGGTTGGACTTGTCGCTAACCTCGACGCCGCTCTCGTCCAGCGTGTAGTCGTACTCGAAGATGAAGAGCAACAGCGACCAGAGTACACCGTTGCGCGATAGATTGCACTGCAGATCATAGTTATTGGCCGCCAGGCTGGTCACCAGGCTAACCGAGAGCGTGTGCTTGAAGTAGACCACACGGCAGACATCCGAGAGTAGCTGCGGCAGCTGTATAATCTTCTGTTTGCACTTCTCAAAGTTGCAGGCGACCTCAAAGCAGCGCGTCACATTCGAGATGACCTGGTAGTGCAGGGAATCCGGCTTCGAGTCCACGCCCAGTATGGAAACGCAGCGCGAATAAGCCTCCAGCAGCGCCTCGATGCCCTCCTCGCGGCGCAGCTCCTCGGCATTCAGCGCCGAGCAGTGAACTGTGTGATAGCACAGCTCCGAGGCGGCGGTCAATAGTTGCGCCTCCTTGGAGAAGAGCTCATCGTCGCGCGTCTCCAGCCGTATTGTCTTGATGAGCTGCGGATAGCCGGCGTACTTGTAAGGACGCAGCACTGCCAGGTGGTTAACAATAAGATTAGGATGAATTGGCAACCAAAGATATTTCCCACTCACCATCCGCATAGCGCTCGAAGAGAATGCTCTGTGTGCGCAAGATGAGCACTATGTTATTGGGATCGGGGCCGCCAGAGCTCCAGACGTTGCGCGAGCACAGAAACTCATAGGCCTGATTAACCTTTTCGAAGATCTCGCGGCCATTGGGATTCTTGTCCGGATGATACATTTGCGCCAGCCTGTAGTAGCTCTTGCGTATCATGGACTCGTCGGGCTTGGGCGTCTTGGTTAGATCAATGCCCAGATCCTGGTAGGCCTGCTGAATCGTCATCTGTGGCGGCTTCTTTTCCACCTCCTTGCGCCAGGCGTCCAGCGTGTGCTTGAGCAGCTGTACGGGATCCGAGATGGGCCAATTGGGAAACTTTCTGGTGTCGCACAAATGCCGCAAATAGTAGATGTGACAGAAGAGCTCGTTCTCCAGCTGCGGATAGCTGATCACAGGTATGGCTAGGTATGGATATCGGGCCATCGTATGGCCACGCAGACGCGGCGTGAAGTCGGCAATGTGTGCGGCAATCTTTTCGATGAGTAAGCGACGCATCTCCGAGCTCCAAATCACCTCGGGCGTATCGAATTCGCCCAGAAAGATTTCGGCAAACTTTTCGGCGCTGTAGTTCTCCAGGAAGCACACCATAGCCTCGGGCAGCAGCTGGCCCAGAATACTGCGATGCATAATGCCCGACTGCGAGGTCTGCAACGAAAGAGGGAAAGAAAACGTGAGCAGGGATTTGCTTGGGAAGATCAGGCAGTCACAGCCGCACCTCCTCGCTGCGGAATCCCTGCTTCATGTGCGTCATCTTCAGGAAACGTGTAATGGGCAGTATATTGCTGCCAGTGTACATGAGCATAAAATAGAACACGCCCGTCATATACACCTTGGGCATCTCGGGATTGTCCTCCATGATCTGGCAGAGCAGCGTAGCCACACGCTCCAACAGACCCGGATCATGCGTCAGACACACCTGCACCACATGCGGCAGGCAAATAAATTCGGAAAGCTTGCGCGACAGCTTGGGCCCGGGTATGAGTACAGCTACGCCGCTCTGAGTGCGGCTGGGAAAGAAGCTGGTGCACTTGATCAGTATGTCGAGTATCTTGGAAGCCAGCTCGGTCTCGTCGTACAGCGGCGTGCCCTTGGCTATAAGGCACCACTTCAGCTGAGGTATCTGTTGCAGCGAACGCCAGCCGTCCATGCCAATGGCCCAGCAGCGTGTCTTGGGCGTGATCTGGCCCTTGTGCCAGAGATCCTTCAGTTCCGAGTAGGTAATGGGTCCCTGACGCTCTGCTTTCTGCCCATCCTTTTCGATGTTATAGTACCAATCCTTCTCCTCATAGGCGGCCATATTGGGACCCGCCTCGATCACATTCGTTTTGGTATTCAATTGGGCGCGGCCCTTGTGCAAGTGCGCCAACGTCACTAAATCCACCAGACACTGGACATGATCAACCAAAGCGCGGCAATTGGACTTTTCCAGTACCAGACAGGATATCAGATTGATTAAGGCATCGCGCATCGAAGGAGATAGGCACTTCAAGGGAAATATTGAAAATTGATCAATTTAAATGTCAATCGAAAATTTTCGGTTCATCTTACGCGATCGCTGAGCTGCAGAATGTAGGACATGTCGCTGAACTTGCCAATCTCCTTGTGATAGCGTCTATAAACCTTGGCCAGCGCCTGCAGCGAAAAGACCGTCATCTGATCATCATTGACCCGCTGCCGGCACAGCACGCGTCGATACAAGGCATTAAAGAGCTCAATGCTGTCCAAATTAAAAGTTGAATAATTAGAAGAGAACTTTAGATGGAAGGGGAAGACGTACGGATCCTTAACCAGATTCTGCGGCCAGTCATCCTTCTCCAGTATCAGTCGTATGTAGTAGTCGCCAATTTTGATTTCCTCGGCGAGACATTGATAGCCCACTTCAAATTCCTGATAGTTCCAGGCGACAATCATCTGGCCAGCCAAGTCGCGATCGTTTAGGAACTGACGCAACTCATTCTCCAGGCACATGCGCAGCTCCTCGCGCGTCTGTTTGAATAAACGAACATATGATTTAATTTTGATTTAATTTTCCGGCAGGACTCGCTGCTCACCTTGTGATTCCATATCAGGTTGGGCAAACTGTGATCTTTGGCAAAATTGTAAAAGAAATAGGGCAAGTTGACAATGGCTTCGGTTGTTTTCTTCTTTTGGCGTCGATTGCGCAGCACCACCGGACGATTCTTGAGCGCCTGGGCGGCGCCATCCTGTTGCTCGATCAGATTCATGCCCCAGTGCTTGATGCCCTGCAGATGCTTCTCTATCACATTCTTGCGAGTTTTCTTGGAATGTTGTATTGCATATTTGAGATTATCGCGAAAGTTCAGTTTGTCCTCCTCGACGTCCGTGTCCGGCACGCTCTCCTCCGTCTCCAGGAACGTCAACAAGCCGGCCGGCTGCAATTAGACTTCGAGTTAAATACTGAAATTAAGCACAATCAGTGGGAAGTCTTACGAAAATGCGCTTGAATAGTTCCATGGCCTCCTCGCTGTCCGTTAGCCACAGTCCAATCAGGTGCCGCGACAGCTGGCGATGTGTTATTAATGTGGGATCATTGGAGGGCGTGTAGAGCGCCACCAGCAGATGGCGACAGAGCGCCGCCTCATCCAAGGCCAACGCCTGCATTTGCTGTGCCACATGCAGCTCACCCTCTTCGATGATGGCGCGCAGCACCAAGCCCGCACCCTTGACAATGGCCAGCGATGGATGCTGGAACAGCTTGTACAACGAACGTCCACGCTCGGCCACCAGCTCCAGCAGTATGTCAAACTGTTTGCCATCTGTCGTCTCGCTGTAAGGCACACACAACGCAAAGGTCATGAAGTCCAGCATGGCGGACAAAACCAGCGCACCGCTACCGTGGCTCTGCGGGCAAAGAAATTCAGAGTTAGTCATTCAGGTTTAGGTTTAGGTGGGACTCCACTTACCACATGCATGGTCCACATGTTGAGCAGGGTTTCCAGAAATGATTTCGATGATAATATGGAAGATTTGTTCAGCTGCTCCTGCTTAAGGTCATGGTCCGTGTTCACCGAATGCATCAGTGAGTTGATCATATCAATCGCCGAGTACGTGACGGCCAAGTCCTTCCGACGCAGTGCAGCCACAACCTTGGTGCCGATTATTTCGCGAAAGCTGCAAGACACAGAATATGCCCTATATAAAACCAAATCTGATGGACACTAAGAAAAGGTTTTGGAATGTAAATACATAGTACAAGTAGGAGTCGAGAGTGACACCTTCTGCCTGTTACATACATGCGCCCTTTTTACCTTTTCTCAATGGGTTCAGGGTATAAGAAATAACTATTTACCCCGGCAGATTTGTAAAGGCCGCATAGCCCACTTTGCTGGCCAGGAGACGCGTCAGCGCATGGAATATAGCCTCCAGTTCTGTGTTGGTCAGCTGAGCCGTCGGACTGTCCAGTTCCTTTTGAGCCAAGGCCTGCAATGCGCTGAGTATGAGCTTCTCCTTGTTCTCCGCAAACAGGCTCTGCCAAGAAATCAACATTAATTTACCAAAAATTCATCAATTGGCCATTAAACAGTTAAACTCACATCCTGGGTGACACTGTAGTTGAGTCCACTGTGCGGCACGTTGGCATTGAAGCGCTCGAGTATCTCATGGCGCTTGATGGGGTTATGAAAATTGTTGATAACCAGGCGCAATAGGTTGGCCTCCGTCTCCTCGTCGACGGAGCTGTTCAGGGGCACATAGCGCTTGCCGCGTGGCGTATTGCCAATGCGTATGTGGACATCCTGATTGCCACTGGAGCGCACCGCATCGAGCACAGTGGCCAGCAGGGAATCGCGATCGTTGGTGCTGTAGCTGCGCACAATGCCGTTCTTGTATTCGATGCAAAAACGCTGCAGATTGTCTTTATCGCGCACCAGCGCAAACACATCGGCCAGCGGGCGCAGCGTGCAGACGCTGTACGTTTGCGGATCGCGCTCCAGCAGCGTCACCTCGGTGAGGCAGAGTATGCGCTTGACTGGATCCGGATGCCGTGGCGTTATCTTTTGCACTGTGAACTCTGTCATGGAGGTCTGGAACTGATCACCGCTGTAAGGCACAGATAGTTAAATGATGTCCGGCTGATCTGCACTCAGAGCTGTGAGACTTGCCTGTATTTGCCAAAGCGCTGGCGATCGAATTTCTCGCGCGTTATTTGACTCTTGAGTATTTTGGTTTCGATGCCGAGAAACTGGGCGGAGCGTTGGACAATATTCTGTACGATCTCATGATGATTGAGCGCCTTGAACATGTGCAGACGGCTGAAGCCGCCGTAGGCCATCACGATGCCATTATCATAGTCCGAGATGCCTGCTTAAAACGTGCGCGTAAACGGAAAAATCACAACGATCAGTGCGAAAAACAAACAGAACAGAAAAATGAAAACAAAGCGAACACGTATTAAAATGTGAAACAAGACAACAGAGCATTGGCACATTAGCTGGAACATTGTTGTTTAAAGCAGGGATTATAGAGCCCTGCATCGCTCAATTCAATAAACTCGGTTGCTCGATCGATTTAAACGAAACCCGACAGGCTCCAGCTTTTGAATTTGGAGCGAATAAACGATTAAACAAACATTAAGACATTTACACAAACAAAGTTCAATACGCTCGAGTCAGCAACTTGTTTGTGCTGTCGAGTTTAATGCGAGCTCGATCAGATCGAGCTTATATGAGTCTTGCCCGTTTCAGTTGCCTCGATGCAGGATTCTAGTGGAGTATTTAGAGCAATGCCTTTCGCATTTACAAGCCTTGCTATAGGTACCTATTATTCCGTCAATATCCTTGTACATATAGCTAGTCAGCACATCGTTCGTGGTGGGATCCAACTGATCCAAGGAGCAGGGCGTAACCTCCAGCACAGTGGGCAAACTAATGCCCGACCAATGGTATTTATACGCATTGAAACGCTGCGGCAAAGAAAAACTCATTTCAGATAAACGACAATCAATATCGAAGAAATATTTGCTTACGAGAGCATTTTTGGGCTTGTCAGCGAATTCCCTGTAATATTTCAATATGGAGCTGAGTATATCGTTGCGATATTCCGAGGAAAGTTTGATCGTATCCAGTTTCTTGTCTTTTTTTATGGTTAGCACAAACTCATTGGGTATCTGCGGGCGCAAAAACAAATTTATTAACAAAACAGCTCGCAATATGCATTACATATTTATGTATATAAACTTACATTCGTGGTTTTTGCGGGTGCGGCGGCTACAATATCCGAGTAGGTCCAGCGATTTGTTAGGTCAAATCTGTCCGGATTGTAGGTGGAGATGCCGGTGGTGCCAATAGAGAGAATGCGCTTATATTTACCCTTCCACGAGTGCTTGGTCACAATGAAGCACTCCAGATCCACATGCTCCCGCGGCGGCAACATCTTCGCGCAAGAATCTAAACTTTTTGCAATTGCTGTGCACTGTAACTTTACGCCACTAGATAACAAGACTGCAAGAGGGAAAGAGAATAGAATAGATGTTTGTTTGACAGTTGAAGTTGTACAGCTGATTCATGGTACTGATTGTCCAAAAAATGTAAATTTACTGCTGATTAATCAAGTGGCCTGGGCTCGGATACTTATCAGCGGCGGTCGCGGCCCACACGACCGACAACAAAGACCGAAAAGGGGAGTAAACGTGACGACGACGGCGACGTCGACGACAACGAAGTGCTGCGACTTTTGGTTCCAATCAGAAGCAGCGGCGTTGCTAATTAGCTTAAGTGTTTTGCTGTTGCAGCGCATCCGTTGGTTTGCTCACCTTAAACATTTAAAGCATTTCAACTGCTAGCACTTAAGTTGAACAAATTATTGTTGATTGATACTATTACTATTATAGTTTTTAGTTATTTGCAATTTTTGCATTTGCATTTTTTACAACAGCAGCGCAAGCAATGTGACCAATGGTTTAAAGCGCTAAAAATACCAAAAAATCGGATTAAAATATACCAGGGCTGCAATTGATAACCAGCAGCAAACTAACGATGACTCATAATAAGCAGCCATAAAACAATATCCACTAGAGCAACGTTTCACTGCAATAATTTATAATAATTCGTGCAAAGTATTATTTATGGCACAGAACGCGTTTATTCCTTCATTTATTGAGATTGCATCATCTGCAGGAATGCCACTTATTTATTAATTAGTCGCTCAGTGCTGTGCATAGGGCTACCAAAAATAAATATCGACAGCTTACTGGACGATAACATATCGATAAAGTACTTTTGAGCGCGCTTTGCACAGCAACGAAAATATATTCAATTTGCATGTGCAAATGCTGCGCCAAGTAATATAATTAATTATTTGCATTTTCACACAACTCAAATTAATTTGCAACATTGTAGCGAGTCTCGCTAAGTCTTATATATGAGTTTACAGACCTTATTTTTTAAACAATAAAACTCACTTTGATTTGGCTTAACTATAATTAAAAAGTTTATTTGATTGCGTGCAGATATAAATGTGTTTCTGCTGTAATCTGTGTTGCATAAAACGTACTTTTATCTAAATGCAAATAAAGATGGCAGAGTTTATGTATTTATGTATGCAAGTATGTGTGTGTGTGTGTGTGTCTACGTATGTATAAAAATTCAAGATAAAAATCTCACAGTAACAAAAGCAAAACAAACAATTAAAACAATTGGACGACGATTCGTATTTTACACAAATGATGCTGCATTATCTCAAACTGAGCTCTAGTATATATAGATATATGTGTGTGTATAGTGTGATAAAATATATGTAGATAATCTTATGGGCACGCACTGCTCCCGTTCCAACTGGAACTTCGTATCGTTCCAGTTGGAACAATATAAGGCGCGTGGGTTGATTTTATAGCCAGGTGATGGCATATCTCACATGCAGAGTGCGTAAATGATTAAATGACGGAAAAATGTTGACAATGATAAGATGAGGGCTAAGTCTTAGACACACTTTACAAAAGAACCTAAGCATAGTTATCTTTATCTTTTATATCCACAAGCATCACAAGCACATGGAACTGGTTCGCGCTCAGACTTTCGTGTGTATGTGTAAGTGTGTGTGTGTGTCCAAATTGATTGCTATAATGCTTGGCCAGATCGGATGAGCAGCAGGCAGGTCAGCAGGAGCATTTGTTCTTGGCATCGGCGCTGGCATCTGCCGCACTCAGATTGAATTTCTCGTCATCGTTTGCATCGGCAGTTATCAGTTTGTCATTGATGAGTATCTGGAGGATCGGGAATTAGAGATTAGCTGATATACAATCTCTATAGAGAGAGAGAGAGTCTTGACTCACCTTATTCACCAAAGCGCGTGCGGCCTCGTCGATGTTGATGTTCTCCTTGGCGGAGGTCTCGAACCAGCCGGCGAATCCATTCTCCCGCACATACTCATCCATGCGCTCCGGCTGCGTGACAATGCCCTGTTTCTCCTGGTCGCACTGCAATGGGATGGGATTATAGTTTGATCGTATGTGAAGCTGTTCTCTCTCCATTTACCTTGTTGGCCAGCAGTATGCAGGGTATGGGACTGCCATCGGGCAGCTGGACCTTCGAGTCCAGATCCTCCTTCCACTTGCTGACGCAATCGAAGGTGCCGCTGCGCGTCACATCGAACACAATAAAGGCGCCGACGGCCTCCTTGTAGTAGACTCGCGTCATATTCCCGAAACGCTCCTGTCCGGCTATGTCCCAGAGCTGCAGACGGACTATCGTATTGGCGTCCCAGTGGAGCACCTTGAGGGCGAAGTCGACGCCAATGGTGGCGCGATAATTCTGGCTGAAGAACTGATGGACATAGCGCTTGATGAAGGACGTCTTGCCAGTGCCCAGCTCCCCGATGACTAGAATCTTGTACAGATGTTCGCGCTTCTCGCCGCTCGCCGCAGACATGATGGTCTGGAAAGAGAGAGACAGAGAGAGGGAGAGATGGAATCAATAGCTGTGGTTAGACTAGTTGAATGACACACACAAAGAGAGAGAGACGGGGGAGAGAGGGGGTGGTCGGGTTGAGGTATCGCCTGACGGGGGCAATCACTTGTGCGGCTTCTTAAATGCGACAGCAACTGCGACTGCGACGGCGACTGCGACGGCGACAGAGATTGGACGCAAGACCTTACCGGTTCCATTTCCTGATCCATGGTCAAATCACCGAAGGCCGGCATGGGCTTGGACTGCTCCAGTTCCTCCTCCTGCTCCTGCTCCTGCTCCGATTGGGTGTCCTCGTTGGAGTACTCACTGGCCACCGACTGATAGCGCAGCGTTTCCCGCCTGCCCTCAATGCTGTCGTGATCGCTGAGCGCAAATTGTGGCTGCTGCTGCTTAAAGCTGAGCCGGCGCAAACTGGAATCACTTGGCTCTTCGCTGGAGCTGGGCTGCTGTGTGGCGGCGACGGCGGCGGCGGCCAAGGCAGCCTCATACGCGTCCACGGGCGAACGGACGGCGCTGCCAACGGCAAAGCGGACCACTGGTGGGGCGACTGTGTCCTGGTTGGATGTGGTCTGTGCGCTCTCCGCTAGCGAAACGGCGTCCGCTTGCTCCTCCACGTCGCTCAGACTGACCGCTGGTGGTGACCCCGCTGGCAGCGGAGGTGGCGCAGTGGTAGGCAGCACGGGTAGGGATTCGGGTTCTGGGCTGGTCGGCGTCTCGAGCGCCTGCTTGGCTGTTGCGATGGCAGCCGTTGTGCCGTTGCGTGTCAGGCGTTGTCCGCGCTGCTGTTGTTGCATCAATGCCCGCTCCTTGCGGCTGCTCAGGCTGGTGCTAGTGATGCGCTCTGGTCCGCTGCTGCTGGCGTACTGATGATTGCTGCCGCTCGCCCGGCTCGGCTTTGCGGGCGCTCGTTCGCGCGGCGGCGTATCGCGCCTGCTCTCCGTGATAACGATTTTCTCCTCCGTTGTTGCTTCTCTCAGCTGCTGCTTCTTCTTCTGCTGCTGCTGAGCAGTTGCCTCTTTGGATACCTTGGCTACAATTAGCTTAGTCGTGCGACTCGTCGTGTCTTTTGTGGTCAACGTTGTTGTCGTTCTCTCAACACTCGCTGCTGCAGTTGCTCCAGTTGCTGCTCCAATTGCTGCTGCTGTCTCTGCTGGTGTCGGGTTCAGGTAATCCGTTTCGCTGACTGCGCTCGTGCTCTTTTTGCCTTTGCCTTTGGCCAGCGTCTCGACTTTCTTGCCGCTGATGGTTATCTGCAGCGTGTTGGCTCCACTTCCCTCCAATCCCAGTCCGCGCTCCCTGCTGCCGCTGCTGCTGCTTCTTCTCAGGCTGAGCTCATCGCTGTGCGGTCGCACTTTGGTCTTGGGCCTGAGGCTGCCCAGCAGCAGGCGCCTCGTGAGGCTCTGCTTCTTTGGATCGCCTTTTGGTACGCTCTCGTTGCTGCTCAAATTCTCCGCCAGCTGCTCCGCGCTGCGTGGCTTCTGCTTGGCTAAATTCTTGCTCGGCTTTTTGCTGGTCTTGGACAGACTGCGAAAGGCGGCCGAGAAGCGCGAACGTGCTTTGATCTTTGCTGGGAACTGTTCCTCCTCCTCCTGCTGATCCTCCTTCTCCTGCTGCTCCTGCTGCTGCTCCTGCTGCAGTTGCTCCTGCTCTGCTTTGGACGCTTTGCTTGTGCTCGCCTCGTTGTCAGCGTTTTGCATATTACAAGCGCTTCGATTGGAATTTCAGCAAGCGGAGCAAGTTGGAGCCATGGATCAGTTAACCTGGAGATCCTTTGCAGCACCTTGGAATAGCAACGGATTAAGCGACCGCAACGAGCATTTAACGAACGCGCACTGAAATTCGCATTGCCGCCGTCTGGGTTTATATAAATTTGTTTAACGCCTCAGAGGGCAACCGACCCCCCCTTGGCTGTGGTGAGCCCCCAAAATGGTTTTAGATTACCTAGCTCAAAAAAAGAGACGAAACGCTTACCAACACTGGCAGCAGCAGCAGCACTTGCCTAGCGTGAGAGCTGCGTTAACTGAATGCGCCGGCTCAGTCTTGGAACAGTCGCTTATCAATCAATTTTGGTGCACAAAGCCGGCGGCTTTATTCGCATTCGCCTCTTGACCAGCTGCAGCTGCATGCAATGAATGCGTCTCCACTCTCGCTGACGTACTTGCTCCAAAATAGCCGCCAAGTGTAACATTCGGCTCAAGGTCCGAGCGGAATCTGTGCGTCAATCAGGCGTGAGGGCCAACTAACTGCGGAGGTGTTCCTCGGGCCAGACCTGACCGTGTACAAAGCCCATTGAGGCAGCAAAAATGCATTGACACGCACTTCGCGGGCTTCCTTTTACAACAGCTGAGGATTTGTCGAAAGAGTCGCTCAAGAATCTCAAAGCTGGGTGGGTGGTAAGGCGGTTCGCTGGTCGGATTGGGCTCGCATGCATTTGCATATAGAATTACGTTTATTGCAAAACGTCGTGGTAAGCCACAATAAAGACATATCGCACACATATGTATATACAATTACGCGGGCATTAGACTAGTTTCGCTCTGTGGAAGCGGGAGAGCATGCGGAAGATAAAGCCTGATGTCATTGCGAATCTCACGTAACCCAAAGCTGCGCCACGCTCAATTTGGAGCAGTCTAAATATAACCAAGTGGAGGCTATATCATTGCCAGATCTGCGCCCGCACTTGTCACACAGACATTTTGCGGTTTTCCCTCTGAGAAGACTCTTTATCAGCATTCCATATTCTATTCGAATATATTATATATTCCAGAGCTATCTCATTAAAAGTAAAATGGGGAAAACTATTCTCGGCGCATTCCCATTTCCATAATCAATGCAGGAATATGCAAAATGTGCTCCAATTTGTAACAAACTGTTTATGCACAACTCAACTGAAGCTTTTGATGGGGAACTGCAAGACAATTAGAATATGTTATGTTACCCCCCTAGTTGACTTTTTAAAAATAATATTAAATCTGACGGCATTACTTGAATTCTTTAAAAGAGCAGAGTAGTGCGAAATATGCAGTGTGAAAGCTAGGAGAGGATGAGATTACACACAGAGAAAAAGATAGAGAGTTAAAAAAAAAACGAGAGGGTGGCTAGACTAATAAGAGAGAAGGAGAGAGAGAGAGAGAAGGAGAAAGAGAGAGAGAGACGAAAGAGAGAGAGAGAGAGAGATACGTTAGAGAGAGAGAGAGAGAGAGACGAAATAGAGAGAGTGAGACGAAAGAGAGAGAGAGAGACAGAGACGAAAGAGAGAGAGAGAGAGAGAGACAAGAAAGAGAGGGAGGGAGAGAGACGACAAAATGAGAAAGATAGAGAGGCAGAGAGAGAGAAACTAAAGAGAGGGATAGAGAGAGTGAAAGAGAGAGAGCGAGAGAGAGAGAGCGAGAGAGAGAGAGCGAGAGAGAGAGAGACGAAAGAGAGAGAGAGAGAGAGAGGCGAAAGAGAGAGAGACAGACGAAAGAGAGAGACGATAAAGTAAGAGAGAGACAGAAAGAGAGAGACAGAAAGAGAGAGAGAGATATAGTAGATAGAGAGAGTTTATAATACCTTTCACAATTACACACACAAACGAATCCAACTCACAATAACACATTTATATACACAAACACACTTGACTAAAATCACAGCAAAACGCGCAGGCCCTACATGAAATTATGAGAATCGCATAGGAAGGCGCTTCAGCAAAATTTAAAAATGCGTTACGTTTAAATAAACCAAGTTGCGGGAAGTGTAAGCTAAACCATTTAATACATTTGATTGAGCCGGAAAAATAGGAGAGATATACAGAGAGGGTAGAGAGGGGAGCATATATAGAGAGCGAGAGCGAGAGAGAAGGAGAGAGAGCGAGAGAGAGGGAGAGAGAGAGAGATAGGGAGGGGGAAGAGAAAGCTGCCTTATATATATTTTCTTCGCCTTCTTTTTATACATTTAACATTTTCATCAACTTTTAAGCCCCTTTAAAGCTTTACACGTATGCATAACCCTTTTTTACGCCTTTTGTTAACTTGTGTTTACTCTTTAGACAGATTTAATAGGAATTTCCAGAGACACGTGCTGTTTCACCTCAGAATTTTACGATAGGCATTCGAAATTCACTTTCGACTAAACCAGAAATTCTTTTGTGCTCGTGCAAATGTTTGCACGCAATCGACAAAGGGCAAAGTAAGTCAACTGAGGCCAAGACAGGGCAAGGGGTAAGCGGGCATTTAAAGCATTTCGCTTAAGCGTTGCAATTACCAACGACCCCATTCCAGACAAAAGCCGCACGGATATGCCCGGGGCGTCAATGTGGAAGGCCGAAAGTGGAGCCCGGCTAGGAGAAACATGGCATTAGATAGCTTGTGGCAAGCAGGTCACAGGTCACGAGGTGTATTAAAGCTCTTTGTTATTTTCCCAAATTTTCAGCTAAATCACGAAAATAGTTTCATATGCCTGCCTAAAAGAAGCCGCTCAATTCCCCAAGCTGCAGCAAACACATTCTGAGTACTTTGTTGTTTGTTGTTGTTTTTTTGCATGCTGCACGCAAGCATTTGGCCTGTGGGCGTAATATTAGTGGGCGTGGTTATGCAAGTTGCAAGCACAAATAAATAACACTTTACTCAAGGGGAAATTCAATTTTCTATATAGGCAATTTTCTGTATGCCACGAAAGTATGCAACACTTTTGTTAAGTGTTGGAAAAAATATGCAATGCTTAAAAACATTAAATTTCTCTAGTTGAATTAGTTGGCTTTTTATAGAGAAAATATAGCTAATATATGATTTTATATATTATAATTTATTATTATTAAAAGAGAAGTTGTATATGTATCTGTATCTGTATCTGTATCTGTATCTGTATCTGTATCTGTATCTGTATCTGTATCTGTATCTGTATCTGTATCTGTATCTGTATCTGTATCTGTATCTGTATCTGTATCTGTATCTGTATCTGTATCTGTATCTGTATCTGTATCTGTATCTGTATCTGTATCTGTATCTGTATCTGTATCTGTATCTGTATCTGTATCTGTATCTGTATCTGTATCTGTATCTGTATCTGTATCTGTATCTGTATCTGTATCTGTATCTGTATCTGTATCTGTATCTGTATCTGTATCTGTATCTGTATCTGTATCTGTATCTGTATCTGTATCTGTATCTGTATCTGTATCTGTATCTGTATCTGTATCTGTATCTGTATCTGTATCTGTATCTGTATCTGTATCTGTATCTGTATCTGTATCTGTATCTGTATCTGTATCTGTATCTGTATCTGTATCTGTATCTGTATCTGTATCTGTATCTGTATCTGTATCTGTATCTGTATCTGTATCTGTATCTGTATCTGTATCTGTATCTGTATCTGTATCTGTATCTGTATCTGTATCTGTATCTGTATCTGTATCTGTATCTGTATCTGTATCTGTATCTGTATCTGTATCTGTATCTGTATCTGTATCTGTATCTGTATCTGTATCTGTATCTGTATCTGTATCTGTATCTGTATCTGTATCTGTATCTGTATCTGTATCTGTATCTGTATCTGTATCTGTATCTGTATCTGTATCTGTATCTGTATCTGTATCTGTATCTGTATCTGTATCTGTATCTGTATCTGTATCTGTATCTGTATCTGTATCTGTATCTGTATCTGTATCTGTATCTGTATCTGTATCTGTATCTGTATCTGTATCTGTATCTGTATCTGTATCTGTATCTGTATCTGTATCTGTATCTGTATCTGTATCTGTATCTGTATCTGTATCTGTATCTGTATCTGTATCTGTATCTGTATCTGTATCTGTATCTGTATCTGTATCTGTATCTGTATCTGTATCTGTATCTGTATCTGTATCTGTATCTGTATCTGTATCTGTATCTGTATCTGTATCTGTATCTGTATCTGTATCTGTATCTGTATCTGTATCTGTATC